CTGGATTGGGTCTGGCCCCTGCCATACTACCTGGACCTCACCCCAGGAATGTATGTATACAGTAACTTTTTCCCTATGGCCCTTTTGCATTTTTAAGCTTATCTCAGCAGACTCATGTTGTACTAGTCCTTTTATGCTTGCCTTACTTCGCTTAGCATAATTTCCTCCAGTTCTTCCCATGAGGCAATGTGCTTCATGTGTTCATCTCTGCTTTTTAGGGTTGCATAGTACTCCATTGTATGTATGCACCACAGTTTTTTAATCCATTCCTCTGTTGATGGAAATTTGGGTAGTTTCCAACTCCTTACAATTGTGAACTATGCTGCAATGAACGGCCGGATGTCCGGCTGTGATTTGTTTCTTGCCTCTTCTGGTTATATGCCCGGTGGGGACATTGCTGGGTCTTATGGTAGCTCAATTTTCATCTGTTTTAGAAATCACCAGACCGATTTCCATGGTGGCTGTACATACCTACAGGTCCACCAGCAGTGGACGAGAGTTCCTATCTCCCCATAGCCCCTCCAACACTTGTTGCTTTCTGTTTTTTTTGCATTGGGCTATCTTTGAGAATGTTGGCTTGTTTAATTTACATTTTCTTATGGCTAATGATTGAGAACATATTCGCGTATGTTTATTGGCCATTTGAATTTCTGCCCTTGTGAAACTTCTGTTCAGGTCCTTTGCCCACCTCCACAGTGGGCAATTAGGTTTTTTTGGGGTTTTTTTGGAAGCTAGCAGAGTACTATAGATTTTAATAATAAGGCCTCTGTCTTGTGTGTCATTGATAAAGATGTTTTCCCAGGCAGTGGGCTCTCTTATTACTCTCTTGGTGAATTCTTTTGTGTGCACAGGTGTTTTATCTTCAGTATATCCCATTTGTTAATGTGTGACTGTATTTGTGTTCTTCCCTATTTCCAATAACCAATGTATTCCCTGCTTCAAAGGTCTGAGGTTTGTTCCAATTCCCCCATTGATGGCCCTAATAGTTTTGGGTTTTACCTCAAGGTCTGGGATGCACTTTGACTTTGGGTTTATTCTTGTGCTTGGAATGAGATAAGAGTCTTTCTTCATTTCTCTGCAGATAGATATCCATTTTTTCCAGCACCATTTGCTGAAGAGGGCATCCACTCCCATTTGATATTTTTGGGCCCTTAACAAAGATCAGTTGTCTGTATGATGATGATTTATTTCTGGGTTTTCAGTTATTTTTTTAATCATTTTATCGGGGGCTCATACAATTCTTATCACAATCCATACATACATCAATTGTATAAAGCACATTTGTACATTTGTTACCTTCATCACTCTTAAAACATTTGCTCTCTACGTAAGCCCCTGGTATCAGCTCCTCATTTTCCCCTCCCTCCCCACTCCCCCTCCC